CACCAAGGTACCAAATAATTCTGATCAGGTTAGTGCTTATGAATCGTTGTACCCTGTTCTTGATCTTCATGCAGACTTTGTTATCAGTAGAGCTTTGCTGTGCATTTGAAGACATAACATAATCCTGAAGTCACAGTCCAGTCTTTAGACACTAATTAAAAATAAGATATCTCTTTCCTTACAATTTTATTTTTGAGGTACCCAGTTAGTGATAAATAAGAACAGGAGGAAATAAAGTGTCTTTACTTAAAAAAAAAAAAAAAAAAAGGTGTAAAAGTGATCTTAAGTTTGTGGGAAGTTATCAGACTCAATATATTAAAATACTAGAAATTATTATTTTGTTTGTATTTTTTTTAATAGCTATATAACTTGTGTTTGTCCTCAGGATGAGACCCCAGGAACACCCAAGAAAAAGGAAACTAAGAGGAAATTCAAACTTGAGCCACATGAAGACCAAGTTTTCTTAGATGGAAATGAGGTAAGATTTATGGGTACTTTTAGAAAGTCGTCAATGTTTTATTGTCAGATAATAGGTTAATTTACTGGATTTCTGCAAACTTTCTCAACATGAAAAATTAATGGCAATGTGATGATCTTGAAACATCAGATTTTTAGATATTTGCAAGGAGGTTAGAGGGAGATAAATGTAGGACAGTAACTTTAAAAAAAAATCTAATAGAAAACTTAATTGCCACTTGTTTAGGTGTTAGTGGCTGTGAGGTGAAATGTTTGTCCTCAGGGTGTAACGGAGGCTGCCCAGAGCAGTTCTGCAGCCACCGTGCCCAGAGGCTTTCAAGAAGGACTGGGTAAAGCCCTGCCTAACAGGGGCTGGCCTCACAGCTGACCCTGCTTTGAACAGGAGGGTGGACAAGGGACCTCCAGAGGTCCCTTCCAGCCCCAGTTATCCTGTGGCACAGTGAAATATTTCTAAACGAAACACAAGTCTTTTAGGACACAGTGTTGGATTGCAAGAGGGGAAATCAAACATACCTGCCAGCCAGAGGCTGCCTGGCTTTGTGATCTGAGCAGAGAAGGGGACGCCGGGGCCTTCCTGGATTCTAATCCTGGCTTTACCACTGAAACTGGTCTTAAATAGTTCTCTTTGCTTTCCTGGCAAAAGAATTGAATTCTTTAGCAGCTCTGTAATGTACAGTTACATTTGTACTTTTAAGTGATTCTTTACTCCAGCAAATTATACAGTGCTCTGCTGTGTGTCGCTGTACCGGAATCTCCCCTAGGATTCTTGTATACCTTTGGTCATCAAACAGACATAGCAGTGCACGCTGTAAATAAACCACTTGTGCAGAAAATATGTTTCCTTTATTTTACTTTTCTTGGTCAGTTCTTTTACACCTGCCTTTATCTGTTTCATCCCACCTCGTGTAGAATCACACCCACCTCTGATCCTCCCTGTTGTCTTTACATGGAGTAACCAGGATGGCATGCAGCATTCGGAATGAGGGTGCAGGACTGTATTTGCAGTAAACCAGTATTTACCTCTTGTCTTAACATAATTTAAATTTTTGTTTATTAATCAACTGACTTTTTTTAAGAACTGCCACTCCCAAGAGCTTTTTTTAGTAGCTAATTTAGAGCCAATCCTTGTGTATTTACATTGGAGCTGGTTTTTCCCTTTTCTTCATTATTTTGCACTTAACAAACACTGAATATTACACACTGTCTTACTGCCCAGTCACCAGTTTGGGCTCACAGAACAGCTGACTGGCAGCAGAGCTGCACCTGTGTATAGTCAACTTTCATACCCTGTGAGAAGAAGATTAAATACTTGTTGCATCACACTGAAAAACTGTATTAGAGCCTCTAAGGTGTCCTCCTGGCAGTTCCTTTTAACACATCTGCTATGAGGTTGCTGGTTTCTTGTGATCAGCAGCTGCTTTTCACAGTTAATAGCTAAGGTTCAAATTGTTTAGTTTGGCAAGAAAAAAAATAAATCCTGTTTTTCTAGTTCAGAAAATCCTGCACTTTACCCTGGAGTTTTTTTCAATAAGGCTGAGCAAATCTGATTCAATGGATCCACAGTTCTCGCACCAACATTTGGTACAGTGTTGCACCTGCAGACATTTAGATAAGGGTGTGCTGTGGAACAGAGGGTGTGGTTACACTTGCCCAAGGCCATCAAACTGAAGCTGAATGGAGCATTATAGCTGGTTGCTTTGTTCCCTATGTTCAGTCTGTTTTTTTTTCTCTTAAGGGAATCTCTTCAAAAGCTAGAAGTATTTCTTTTTTCCACTTGGTGGACCTGAGAAACTTTTTCCTTTTTTTACAAGATTTTTGGTTTCATGCTGAGCAACAGTAATGAGCAAAGAAAGATAAAAACCAAACCTTGATTCAGTCATACTTCTGAATTTTTCATTTCCTCATTGGTTTTACTGTCTGATGGCTTTCCCTGGGATTTTATGTCACTTGTAAGTTACTCTGGGTACAGCTTCTTTCATGAAGTAATTCTCTGACAGGTCCAGTCTGAGACTTCCACTGGTTTTCTAACACAGTATGGAAACCCTTTCCCTTCCTTCTTCCCCTCCTGGCTGAGGCAGTGGGTGTGGGGCTGCAGGTGTGCAGCCCCTTGGCCTCTGCCATGACACGGTGCTGACCGCTGCGCCTGTTGGTCAGCGCCCAGTGTGACAACACGGCGATGAGCGCTCGGGTGAGGGAATAAATGAAATCCTATATCAGAGAGCTTGTTTTCCAAGTGTAAACCAGATCATTTCTGTTCTAGGTCTATGTGTGGATCTATGACCCCGTTCACTTTAAAACTTTTGCCATGGGACTTGTCCTTGGTAAGTAAGAGTAGATATTGGTGAGCACGTCACAAATGTAAGCACAGTATCAACAGGCCTGTCTGTCCTCGGGGAAATTTGTCTTTCTTCTGGACAAAGCTTTTGCACTTCAGTTTCAGCATGATTTGATACCAGTCATAAGGATCTTGATCTTGGGGTAGAGGGGCTACACATGATAAAAAGAAAAAGCCGAAATGTGCTTTAGCAAATGCCTGAAACTTGGCACAAGTTTGCAAGCTGTTTATTTCCCTTGCTTTAAGCTAATGAGGAAGTTGTCCGATAGGCAAATGTGGGTTATATAAAAATGTAGATGATGTTAAAGGGATTTTAAACTTTGAACGATACCTTTCTGACCCTAGAACTTGTATTTGTGTAGGATAAGCCCAGTCAGCTTTTATTTTGTTAATCTAACCTAGCACTGATGCTAACTGACATCGGTGAGCTAACAGATAATTGCACTGCTGGTCTAACGCCCTTGACCTGTAACTTCCAGCTTCCTTGCCCTGGGAGAACCACCCTTCCCGAGAATCTGTGTCATCCCCTGGCACCATAGTCAGGCCTCTGACTAGTTCCTGGGGCCACTACCATCTTCACCCAGCTCCCCGTGCCTGTTTCCTGCTGTGTGGGGTTTAGGCAGCTTCCTGCTCACCCGTTAGCTCGTGCCCTCTCCTCAGAGGAGCTCTCTTTGCTCTGTTGACCAAACACACAGTTGCTAAATCATGTGTCTCTACCCAGAGCCATGGGACTAGACAAGGTTTCAGTCAAGGCCTAAAATACTACCAGTAACTTGTACTATGCTAAGCCTGGAATAACTAGTAAGCCTAGAATTTTTATCCACATACCAGGAAAAACTAATCACAGGCTTTTCTCCTTATCTCTCTACTCAGTGATTGCTGTTATAGCTGCAACTCTGTTCCCGCTGTGGCCAGCAGAAATGCGTGTCGGTGTCTATTACCTCAGCGTAGGCGCAGGCTGTTTTGTCGCCAGTATTCTTCTTCTTGCCGTTGGTAAGTGTTGGCTTCGCCGTCTCAGCAGGTGGGGTCTAGAAAGGCAGAGACCAACCAGGTGCTTAAACCTGGTCTGAGATGTACTGGGAGACGAGAGGGTGGCTTGTTGTCGGCAGCAGCCAGGCTGGCGCCGCGGATGTATTTCCCTCCTGCCCACTGGGTGTCACAGTTGTGCCACAGAAAGAAAGAAAGAAAGCTCATGCTTCTGTCACCTCTTTGTGTCCCCCGTAGAGTGGAGATCGCATCACTGCCTCTGTTTCAAGAAAAAAAAAAAAAAAAAGTCAAAACAAACCCAAGAACTGTACATAAGAACAGGTTCAGTGGTGAGAATGGCGTAACCAGGATTTCAGCGCTTTCTTTCACATCTATTTCTGTAGCAGAGGGTATTTGGGGCTAAATCACAGATAAGATCCGTGCCAAGAACAAACCATCCCCCAGTGCTGTTGTGGAGTGGGGGCTTCTCCCTCAGGGTCGCCCCTGTCCCTGCCTTGGGGTGGGGCTTAGTAGGGGATACCTCTTACACTGTAGCTGTGCAGTGTGGATGTTTACATTAAAAACCCAAATGTCCCTTTTTTTTAAAATACAGCTCGCTGCATCCTTTTCCTTATCATCTGGCTCATCACTGGAGGAAGGCATCACTTCTGGTTCCTGCCCAACCTTACAGCGGACGTGGGATTCATTGACTCCTTCAGGCCCCTGTACACACACGAATACAAAGGACCAAAAGCAGACTTAAAGAAAGAGGAAAAATCAGAATCCAAAAAGCAGCAAAAATATGACAGCGAGGAGAAATCAGATAGTGAGAAGAAGGAAGAGGAGGATGGGAAAACAGAAGCAACAAGGAACTCAGGAACAGACGGCTCGGGAGGAGAGCGGCATTCAGACACTGACAGTGACAGGCGTGAAGATGACCGGTCCCAGCACAGTAGTGGAAATGGAAACGACTTTGAAATGATCACAAAAGAGGAACTGGAACAGCAAACGGACGAAGGGGATTGTGAAGAGGAAGAGGAGGAAGATACCGAAAGCAGGCCTTCACATGAAAAATCATAACTCACTGTGGTTTTTGGGACTACGTATGTGCAAATGGTTGGATTTTCTTTGTTGGCTGATCACCAAAACATAGACCATACAGTAGCATCTTTGTTTGCTGAAATATACATGTTACCAAACGGTTTTATATCTAGTTCCTTCATTTTTTTTTAACCATTAACTTGATTACTTGGTACTATGTTAATCATTAATAGCCATTCACAGAAGTTTTATCAATCTGACAAGTTTTCTATTGATTGATAGATTGCCCAGATTGTCCTCAAACATACTGAAAACCATAGTTTTCTGGTACTTGCATAACTGGTCAATTAGTTTAGCTTCTCAAACTTGCTTTTGTAAAACAGGTAAAAGTTGAATGACCAAATCTCAGATTATTCCTAGTTATACTCATTTGATAGCTAGTTAGGTAAAGCCCTTCTTAGCCCACAGCTTTGTTGATATTTTTCTTGACTTTGTTTTCAAAAAATTGTGAAAACTCTCCTAAGAATACTAGTTTTAGCAGAAGTATTTTGCTGAAAATATAAAAGCTGGTAGTGCTGAATTTGGCTGCAGTGTTCTCTCTTTCTCCAGACTGCGTGCCAGCAACTGAGGAAATCCAAACTGGTTTTGTACATCTGGTTCAGAGAAAGATGTCATCTCCAGCGGGTGAAGGAAGCAGCACGGTTTGGAAATGATGGCTGTTTTCTTTCTCCTGCTCCATCATAATTACAAAAAATAAAATGTATTCTGTACATAATTTACAAATAAAGCAAACCATTTACTTTAACTGCTACTTATTATTTAGAGATTTGATCCAGCATTTGGTTTGTATTATTAAAGCCATTTTGTGGTGTATCTATCGGAGAAATGCAAGTCAAGAGGACCTCACAGAATATTTGTGTATGATTGGTAGCTGTTCCACAAGAGCTTTAGTTTTGTGCCAACATTCCATGTATTTGAGTATGAGTAAATTGATCTTAATTAAATGAAAGCAAACAACATAGCTGTATGTATGCCTTAATGTTAAAACTTTCTATATTCTGGAACTGGAATACTTTTTAAACTGAAGATGCAGGAGAGTGTTCATCTGTTCAGAAATGTAGGGAACTCAAAGCTAATATGAAGTGACCATTAATAATTTGTTTATAAATACCTTGGAGTAGTTTGTGCAGTTTCTCTTGCGCATCCCTTTCTGCTGGGCGGTCGGAGGACGGACTGGATGTTTGGGTTAACTAAGCACTGAAGAATTAACACTTGGCATCGTTCCTCTAGATGACTTCAACAGTAACTACAGATTTTATTGTCTCCTGAATCTACTCAGAGGAGATAAGGGTAAGCCTGGTGTTTTAATAACTGACTTGGAGAACTTCTTTTCCTGTTCTAAATTGCTGGAAGAAAGGGGGAGCATTGGCGTTTTGGATGAAGATACTAATTTTTCAGGCTGTGCAAACACATACCTCGTAATGGGTGCACTGATAATTCATGGATATGGTGTGTTTGCTTCTTAAATCTCCTTAATCTTGAATCTCTTAGTCTAAAGGAAACAGATAAATTGGATCACTTCTTTTATTAATACATTAAAAATTAAAGGACCCATTTCCTAAACAGCTTGACTGCTGGACACATGCATGCCATCACTGATTAAAATAGCTAACGCAGTCCTGCTGCTGCCTTCAGGAGCTTCCTCGGGTCTGCACTTCGTGATGACGAAGTGTCTTGGCCAGCAGCTGCCTTCTCGCGTGCTCAGCAGCGGCTCTGAGACACTGCGCTTTGCTCTGGCAGAGGCCGGTTTCCTTTGAGCATTTCCCATCTCCACACCTAGTGCTGAGAAGGTTGCTGCCCGCCTTTGTGCTCGAATCTTGGGCTTGTTGGCGCTGGAATTCCTGGGACAGCTGCCCTGAAGAGCAAGGACTGCAGCTTTTTATCCTGACACTTTCAGCCCACCAAGAGAAAATCACAAAGGTACTTGGCCATGTTGAGGTAGTCATCAGGCCCTTTTTATATCGTTATGTCAAAGTTCTTACTGACTTTAAGGGCAGAGTTAAGAAAATCTCTGTTGTGAAGACATCCTTGTAGCTGGTTATGTTAAATTCCTGCTGCTTCCCGTGGGAGCTAAACCAAGGGTGCCCGACCTCTTGCAAATGAGCCCTTGGGAGAGCGCTGCTGCACCCTGAGCAGGCAGAGCACGGGGCAGAGCTGGCAGTGGGTCTGGCCGCTTGCAGCGGGCACCTGAGCCACTGCTGCTTTTTGAAGAAATGCACTGGATTTCAGTCATGTCTCCAGATGTTTCCTCCTAAAAGTAAAATAATAAAAGCTGAAATGGTCAAATAATAAATAGTAATACTGTCACCTGCGTCCCATTAAGTGGGGGTGTGCGACATGACAGTGCTACCCACCTGTGGGCTGGCTTGCAAAATTAATTATCAAAAATTTGTAGTGTCACCTTAAATAGCATTCCAAGCTCAGACAGCTGTAGAACTAAATTGGCCTTAAACTCTTTCACCTGATCTGCAGTGAACAACTGAATCTTCTGAGGCAGTGGGAAGTAAGAGAGATTGTTGGAGCTGTTCAGTGGCTGAGGAAAGGACTTTGTGACCCTTTCTGTAATCCAGCATTTTCTACAAGTATTCCCCAAATACCTCAGAATTATTTTGGAATGAGATAATGACAGAAGTAATTACAATATGCCAGGAATAGTAAAACTGTGTGGACTTACAGTATCTTGACAAACACTTCCAGCCCACCAACAGAAAATCACAAAGGTACTTGGACATGTTGATTTAGTCATCAGGCCCCTTTTATATCAGGTATTTCAAAGTCCTTCTTAGTGATTTTTGACTTTTAACTTCTAGAGTCTAGGGTGACCTTATAGGAACAAGTATATATATACACATATATTTAGTGAAAAATTATTTAAATAACTAGTCTATTAAAATGTCCTTCCTGCAATAATATTTTATAGTGGTTTTACTGATACCCCTCCCAGTGTTTTATATACACAATATAATTTTCTGATTGTTTTTCTTGGAAAGAAAATACAATTATTCCTAACTTTTTTTGGAATTAAATAATTACTAGTAAAACACAAATGAATATTCAATGCAGATCAGTATTTAGTAATGTTACACCCAAATATGAATACACTCTGGAATGGATACCTGCTCAGCTCGCTCATGTTCCGGTGTTCTTAACCAAAGGCAGATCTTTCTCTAGCTATTAAAAAATAATTAAAAATTATTCTTTGACAAACTTGCATATTTCTTTATCTGTAGAAATGTTAACAGCACTGGTGATGCTTGTACCTGTGATGATAAGCAACTTTCTAATAGCAAAGTACCTTTGTAGCAGCTGCTCAGGGGGAACATTTCCTTTCACTTGCTATATGTCATACAGCAGATTTTTCTGACCTTCTTTAATGCATATATTTTATGGGAGATATATAGATATAGATATATATATATAAATTGTTTGTTTAGGCCTTTTTTGGTTTGGAATCAATACCAGGTGGAGTTCACAGAGCATCACACAGCATCAAGAAGGGCAGATAAAGATGGAGAATGTCTGAGTTCCTCAGACACCTTTTAGAAGACACTGCACCCAGGACTCCCCTGCCTTTACTCAGAGCAGGAGGGAGGCTAACAGAACCACCTGCCCTACGGAAACGTTACATGTGGACGATGTAAACAGTAAATGTAGACATGTGGAAAATACACCTGCCTGGCTTAGCCCCTTACTGCAGCCACCTGCCTCAGAGGGTGGCTCCCCAGCTCCTCTGAGGACAGATTTCTTTTCTAATGGGGTCATAATGACAGCAAAGGATTATTCAAACCTGACAGTTGGCATCAAAAGCACTGGGCAACAGAATCATCCTCTTCCAGCTGCAGTTTTACTGGCAGCAGTTGGAAGTCCCTGTCAGAACCCCTCTTGGATCTGTCGGCAGACAGGGTTCAAGAGTAAATAAACCCTTTTCACCCACTTTGCTGTTGCACCCTGCCCTTTTCCTCCCTCAGGCAGTTGCTGAGATGCTCACCCCTTGCTATCCTCAGGCCACAACTTACATACTCCAGCCAAAACCCAAGTAATTCACAAAATAAAATACACCTAAATAACACCTGGGGAAAAGACCACTGTGGAAGAGGGAAGGATCAGTACCTCTGGTTTTCTCCCTGAGATGCCACGGTGAGGAGAGACAACTGGCTTCCCCATCACAGGGTGTTCCAGAGCCTAAATGAGCTCTTGGTCCCTGTGGGCCTGACTGCAGACAACGCAGCCCAGTTGTTGCTAACAGGAATGCATCCTTCCCCTCTTCCTCATCCCCCAAATTTGCCTTATTCTGAGCTAGGTGCCCTGCGTTGCCATCAGCTTGGAGTAGAAGACAGGATCTTCAAGCAATGCTATATCCTGCCTTTCAGAGGACAGGCCTAGGCCCCACTCTGCAGGAGATTAGGACTCACCTGGCCTGTGGCCCCTTCTGGGCCAGCCAGGCTGACAGAGCTCATGGCTTTGGCTCTGGACACTGGGATACCAGCACCAGGGAGGTGTTGAGTCTGTGAGCCAGAGAGGTGCCAAATCCTAACACACGGCTCCAATGGCAACACTTGGTGATTTCAAAACAGGGCTGGGCCTTAAGGACCCCGTGAAAGATGCTCTGGCCATAACTTACTAAGGGAGAGCTGACTCCCTTTATCATCCAAATTCACTTCCCTCTTTCACTCCTCCTCCTCAGGTTAGTGCTTTAAGAGAGAAGGGCCATCTCAAGGTGACTGAAAACACCAGTAGGATGGGCTCAAAAAGACTGGCTGGGAAATAAAGCAATCCTAAGAGCTAGGGGAACCCCTGGCTTGACTTTATTCATGGTGGGCCAGACTGGGGATGCCAAAGCCATTCACCAACAACTGCTTGAAGCACACAGCAGCGTATAATTTCCGATCAATTTTTCAGAGAAAGGTTTCTCTGAAAGCTCATATTTGCCTTACTTCTTTACATCTAAGTCTCAGTTCTTCATGTAGTTGCACTGGGATAAATTTGGAGTAAATCCACAAATTTGTAACATCACAGAGCAGGGACAGGAAACAGACTATGGTGGTAATTTTTCTGCTCACACGCAGTGGTCAGAGAGGAAGAGTCCTGCAGGAGATGCTCAGGGACTGCCTGCCCTCAGGAGTAGCTGTTGGTTTCCCAGGGGCTGTGGGAGGGGAGGGCTGTATCACTTACTGCTCAGCTGATGTTTCCTCCAACTACTTCTCATACATTTTTAAAACCAAACCTAGAAATGTTTGAATCGGGCAAGTTTGAACAAAACATTTTGTTATGCTATTTTGACCACAAAGTCTTTATCAAACATTTTCTAATATCCAAAGTGGTTATGATGCAACTTAACAGTTTTAATGTAAGATCTACTGTTCAGCATTTAGCATGAAGATTACTGCTAGCATTAACTTTTAAATTAGGCAACTCTTGTTAGGAACTGCAGTCTGTTCGGTGAAGGAGTCTCCACCGACTTGCCAGCACAGGTATGTGATAGATGTCTGGATTTTTAAATACAGGAGAGACAGAGAGATCAGTTCTGTTAGGGACCTTTAGAGAAAGAGGGGGGATATTTAGCTATATTGAAGACGGTTGACCCCCAGCTCACTCCAGAGGATTCCTCAGGCTACCGAGGTATTTTGTCTAACAAGAAGGGTTGACTGACTTGATTCTTAACCTCTCTGATCAATCCCTCTCTGTAAATCAGAATAATATAGTAGATCTTTACCGGCTTTACCTGTTTGCAGAACACTTAGCTAGAAGACCTGGACACTGACTTCTGGCAAACTTTTACAAGTCATAGGTACTTACCTGTTGAGCAGCATGATTTCTTACTGATTCTGATCAAATACTCCAAAGGGAGTTAGAGGAGAGTGGTATGAAATGGTCCACAGCTCTGCTGTACACCAACATGGCACTGCAGCCTTCCCCCTTAGAGCATAAGAAGGACAAAACAATTCTGTCAGTATAAATGAACTGAGACTCAGCAGCTGCTGAATGTTTTCAAAAGACTTCCTGGTAATGGCTGGTACAATTTCATTAGGGCATCTCATTTTATTTAATAAAACATTGGGTGATTTTATTTGTAATACAGCAACAGGTGCAGGAAAACAAAAGGCACATTTCCTGATTGTGTCCACAAAGGGTCCATTACTTACTGCCTGACACAGTAGGCATTTTACCATGCATATTTTTTTTAACGTGAAAATAATGATCACTCAGAAAAATAATTGGTTTATGATAAAAGACTTTTCAGAGAGGATTAGTTTAGAGTTAGTGCTAGCACTATGCAAACGGTTTCAGTGCAAGTAAAGAGAGAGCTAACAGTACTGGGTAAACACTGATCATACTTTAGATAGAGATCAAAGTACCCTCTGCAGGTGGTAACCACCATTAATCCTCATCATGTACAACAGAAACCAAACACAGAAAAGGTTATGCTCATGATCCCCGAAGTACCCTGCAGCCTGGATGCAGTAAAGGATGTAGGTGCTTAGGAGACACTCCTGCAGTTTACCTTTGCTGGTCAATAAATTAAACACAGAGAAGAGTCCTGAGTGACTCTCATTAGCCTTACCAGGAAATAAATACTTATTTTCTCTCTCTGGCATATGAGTCTTCAACCAATAATTAAGAAAAGCTGTTTGCTGAGAATCAAAAGATGTAGTTTTGAATTGTTCAGATGGAGGATGGGATAAAATTACATTTCCCCTCTTTTTAGCTTCCTTTTAAATGAAAGTGTCACCACAGAATTTGTTTAAAATCGAAGTTTACCGGGAGGTACTAATATACTAAAAGGTTACAGAAGATTACGAGCTCTGTTTTGTTGTTTGTGAGCAACATAACAAGAGTAGGATCACACCTTGCACTTCATGCTGGCTTCAGTCTTAACATTTTTAGTTGTCACAGTGACCAGCAAGCCATGAATTGGGTTTTACAAATTACTGGTTCATGGAATGTCATTTTCAGGGCCTTGCTCTTCCCCTCTTTCTTTTAGTTCCCTCAAAAACTCTTCGTGTCACCATGAGCACCGGGCGAGGTTACACCTTGTACAGGGAAAACACGTTGTGGTTACACAAATCAAGGAAACACTACTGAAAAATGCATCGTCTGGCATCAGCTATGTGCTGCATTTACTAGATTTTCACTGTATAAGCAGAGGTAAAATTCTACAACAAGATGCCTTCAAACTAAAATTACTATGGAAATATTTAGTTTCTTCTCAACAAGAACTTCCTAAGAACAAACCTGTTGCCTTCAAGATGAGCACCTCAGATGATTCAAATCAAGATCCAAATGCATGTTGTCTGCACTTTTAAAAGATTCCTGAAAAGTAAATTAAAACATCTCATGAATGGGACACTAGTCAAGTATTTTCTCCTTTAAAAATTGAGTACGTTAATTTTTAGTTAAATATTTTACTCATTAAATATTTAAAAATTAAAATCTTCATAAAGACCACACTGTCTTTCTGAGACATGTAGCCTTTCAGGAACAGCAACTCCACAACCACTTGCTCATCAGCCATTGCAAAACTCTGGTTGCTAATCCTCAGCTGACAAGGCATAAAATCTAATAGCGCATTAACCACGCTCAGCTAGGCAACACCCAGTTAAAGGCACATCCAGGAAAAAGAAAAGGATACAGGAAGGGCTGAACAGATTGGCACTCATGTCCACATACAAATACATTCCAGAGACAGCACTCTGCTCCCACTGCAGTCTGCTGCCAGCTCTGCTCACAGCTGGTATGCCTGTTCACCTCCAAACCGAGTCATGCCCAACTCCTTGCTGCTCAGGATACTGTTTTTCTCATAATAATTTTTCCAGGAGTTCACAGTGTAGAGCCTTCCCCACACATGACATCAAAATGCATAAATATGCATTTGATCTCCCTGTCTTGCTCCCACATGGCTTGAGGTGTCCAAGGTGTCAGCGTAAGATTTCTTGAAACACAAAAAGGGGAGGTCTAAATTTATTCCTTCTGCCCAACTGAATACAGGGGCAGATGGCAACTAGCTTCTGAAGCGTGACACATCCCAAACAGGAGAAACTGGGGAAAAGTAAAGATTCAGTTCTAACTACACAGAAAGCACACCCTATACTCCTTTGTGTAACGGTAAAGAAGTTGTATACATTATCTACACCTACCCCTGTCTGAAGGAAACTTCCTGGTCCTAAATCAGGCAGCACTGAAGGTGAAGCAGAACCAACATGCAGAAACTCTGCTATTCCCCACTGGTCTTTGAGTGACTTCAGAAGCCGCAGTGAAATTAGAGGTGTTTTTTCAACTTGTTCCTTTCCCCTTTCTCCTAAAATCCAACTCTTACAGTTAAATTCAACAACAGAACCCAAAATATGAGCAACCAGCAGCAGGAAACAGTCTTGAAGAAGGAAGGAAGCATCTATGCAAATCTCTTGTGACTACAGCGGACAGAGAACAACAGGATCATCTGAAGAATGCACAAACAGCTTTTGCAAGAGATTTGCTGTACCGTTTCCTGTACTTTCCTCCTGAAGGAGGCAGTCTCCTGTCTTATTTTCACACCCAGCTGCCTGCATGCAAGTATAAATGACTTTCTTAAACTTTTCTGTTGCTGCACATAAGTGCAGGCTCTTTAATCAAGCAGGATGGGCTCAAGCCATTATTTACATAACATGGTATCTGTCAAGTACCTGGAAGTTTTCCTGAAAAGTTGCAAACTGATGCTAAAGAAGAGTCTGTCCATATTTGATACTGAGTGTAAGCAGCTCCTAACACAGTGAGAAGGAGCTGCCAACGCTAAGCAATGCATTTGATTTCCAGGGCATCATTTCTCTGAAAAACAGGAAGATGAGATGTAGTATTCAGGAGCAGAAAACAGTCACTTGGGAATAATCAGTGAGTAATAAGCAAACTTTCAAACAAGCACCAGAGAGGGCTTCGGTGGAGGGAAAGGGAAGCCAAGAAGTAGTCCCAGCATTAACTCAGGATGTAACTCAGGCACTGCAGTGCTCCTGTGGGCCACACCAAGGAGCCCGCTCGGAAGTCTCATGGAGCTGACATACTGTGCTGCATACTCCGGAGGTCACACGCCCATTGGGATTTTTATCAGCAGAAAAAAAAAAACCACTTTAAATCATGCCCTTCCCCTCCTGGTTGCTCATTTCCACCATCCAGGTATCTCCCAACATAGGCCAGTGCAGTAGTTTCTGCAGTCATAAAGAAAGCCATGGTCAGAAAGACACCATCCAAACAGTTCACTAACTACCACTGGGAAAACCACGTGAAGAAGAAAACTAGCTACTACTGAGGGCATTACCACTGAGATACCTGTGAGTGGAACTATGCTGTGGACTGGGTGCTCAGAGGTAAAATACCCATCCCATGTGTAGACATTTTCTTAAGATACTGCAATTTATGCAGGAGTCCTGGGGAGTACTGCTTGGAGGAGTAAATATGGCCAATGTGAATGCTGCTTGAGATTACTTTACATTCTCACATTTTTTCAGACTATAAGACCAGTCATCTTGTTTTTCAAAAAAAACCTCACTTTTTTTTTTCCCCCATGAAGTTATTTAAAACTTGAGATGAAGCAGGAAAGAAGAAAAAAGGAAAAAAAAAAAAAAGAAAAAAAAGCTCTACTTGCATCTGAATTTAATTCTAGACAATTAGTTGCTTTCAGAAGAGGTACCAGCCACTTGATACTGCTGTACACACAGATCACAGATAGACACATCAAACACGGATTTGCAATCTACCGTGCAATAAAAACAATTTAAAAATGTTTCTCTCCGAACAGACACTAGGCATGCTAAAAATGTAGCTGCTCTATGATCAAAGACCCAACAACAGACAGGTTAAATTGAGTAACTCAAAACAAATCCCAAAAGCTCCCAAAGGTTTAGCTCTCCTTATTAGGTCCCAGAAGTCAGGTGTTCTGCCTAAATTTCTCAGGTGGTCCAATCTGCAGGAAGCGTCTAAAAGATGTCATTTATTCCCAGCAGAACCTAATTTTTGAGAAAAGCAGGACACAAGACACTACCTTTTCCCAGATCATCTAGACACTCACACTAGCAACTGCTGCTCAGTAAACTAGCTTGGACAAGCATCCCATGGAGACAGAGGCACAGCAGCAGAGCAGGTGCTGCAGCATCAAAGTGATTTCCAAGCCTCTCCTTAGATTTAGCCCTGAATTACCAGAAACATAAAGGGGGGAAAAAAAAAAAAAAAAAAGATGATGTCATAGTGTTACAGCTGTATTGCCTACATGCAGCAATCAGGACCCCACTGCCAATTAACTGGAGAAGCACGGCTCAGGTCCATCAGCAAGCCATTCCTAGGGTGTGATGTGCTCCTATCCTATGTGTGTTGGTAGATGGGAATTAAAACAAATGGAAAACTATATTAGTACTTTAATCTGGAAGAAGTGAAAAGCTCTGAATTTTTAAATTCTATTAAGTGGATTGCGACAGGATGGCCAAGCTAAAAAGCCAACCCATTTAGAAGGTTTTACGTATACTTTCAGGATTATCTACTTTAATTCTTCATTATCTTAAAACAAAAATGGGTTTTCCCTAACCTTTCTCCTACACTTTTCTTCTTAAGAATCTCAGAGGAAGACAGAACTGAGAGCGCCATTTGTAAAAAATCTTTTTGCCAAGACAACATTCACAGTAAAATATTCCTTAATATTTAGTGTATTAGCCTTTTAACTATATAATTACCAGAATGTAGTTGCCAGTTAAATATTAGGTTCCCCCATGGAAGAGAATATAGAGTATTGGGGGGTTTGTACAATTTTGTGCTGTATTTCAAAACCAGAAGCGTTCTAGACATCATTACATGATGTTAAAAATTTGAACTGTGTTGCAAATACACCACTGGCTGATTTCTGCAATACTCAGATTCATTTGATGGCTTAATGATAGAAGTGGAGACATGCTGCAAAAAGGTGATTTGTCACAGTTTCAGAGGCATCTCGTGCTCAGTGCAGGAAGGGAAATGTGGATGTGGAAGCCCACAAGCTCAGCGCATCTCCCGCGTGATCACAGCCCAAGGTAACCCACGCGCTTCCCCATGGAGGGCTCGGTGGCTGGGGACAGCTGCCAGCCTGCAGGCACCGCAAACACCCTCACGGAGAGTCCTTCCAGCTGCGGGAGAAGGAAAGAAGCAGAAATTAGTTCTCCCAAAGTCTGCTGAGTGCGTTCAGGGGCACCTCTGGGAGGGGATCAGCAGCCCCGCTCATCGTGACGCATTCTGCGTGGGTGAAAGCAGTGACAATTTACTGCCGGAGCTGAATCCCAAGGCCAGCGCGGGTGGGTAAGCACACGGGTGGGGACACACGGCTTTAAGTTAAACATCGTGTGGTGGCTGCCGCCCGCCATGCCACTGCGGTCAGGGACCGGGGGCGGCCGCCCGCGGGCCCGGGCTCTCTCCAGCACCGGCTGAAGCACCCCACAACCCCCCTTGCTGCCTTCTTTTCCCCACACACGTCACACATTGAGAACAGAAAATGTTTACTTGCCACGTACACGGTGATTTCAGCGGCCCCACGAGGGCCGCTCTGCTCTGCCCTCGCCGCCCAGGTAACGCCAGGCGTTCACCTCCGTTCGCTTCCCTCAGTCACAGCGGGCGTGTGCGGGCGGAGGGATTAAACGCCACACGTTTCACCCTTTTCCTCGAGGCGGTTATTTTCCCCTCAAGGCGGTTATTTTCCCCTCGAGGCGGTTATTTTCCCTCAAGGCGAGCCCCTCAGCCGCCGTTCCCCA